CGTTCAAACGCTGTTTAGGACTTCATTGTGGCACACAGGGCATGGTCCTTCTATTTTCTTTGGAGTATGATCACTTTCAAGATTATATATTTCGAAATAGACTACAGAGAGTTACCTTCAGACTTGGACATTTTTTGAGGAACAGATAATCTTTCGCCGTGGCATCGTGTGAAAAGAATTTGTACTGCGACATTCAGATTCTGGAACAATAGTCCATGAAGCAAATTTCATGTACACAGTCATTTTCTGTGCGATCTGGCAAAGGTTGTATCTTCTTCTTCAGTTATAGCTGATTTGTGAAGCTTTTATGGTTGACATTATATGCAAAGTTAGTTAGGATACATTTAGTGTATGGAATAGAGATTATTTTTAACCCTTTGAGTGGAAAGTACGAAGAGCAATCTTCAGCTCTACAACAGATAGCCGAGTCCCCTTCTATGGGCCTGCCGGCTTTTAGAAGATTTTAGCGCTTGGAACGTTGCCATTACTTTTGTACCTTCAGCAAACTTGACTTCATTCTTCTTCTGCCTAATTTGTAAAGAAATGACCTTACGTGTGATGTTGCACGACCTTGAATGAGGAGTGAGTGATGTAACAGAGGGCCTGACAAACTTGTCCTACAGGATCATAAGGTACTGAACAATGGGACTTCTTTAGGGGTCTCCCCGTCCCGAGTATTAAAAGTAATGCTTAAAAAAAGACCCTACCCATTTCTCCTTTGTTGTGGCGAATAATCAACTCCTATTTTCAGAAGGTCGTTGATTGTTGATGAGCAAGTGCCTTTGCATGATGTCATAACGGAATACAATGAAAGCTCAATATTTGGATATTATGTGGAGATCGCACTCAGAAAATCTGCATTTATTGTGTGCATTTCCTGACAATGCTGGAAGCAGCACCAGTGCCCGGACAGAAAAACTTGATTTAGATTGAATGGATGTTGATCTTTTCAGATGCTGTTTCGGACGTTATTTGTGAATATACCAGTTGTGGAGAGTACCATAAAAGTCTAATTCAGACAGGTTTCTTTAATGTATCTTGTCAGCTCTATAAGTTATGCTGCATGTGCAGGTTAGACCATATGTGGATGTTTCAGTACGCCAGTAGAATCCCTGATTAATGCCACTAGACTCAAAGGTTTCTATAATTTACTACAGAAGGATCGTTCACAGGATACGTGCATAAATATGTTTATCTAAAGCTGACGGAAGTGCCTAATTAATCAACCACTTTTTAATTGTCTCAGCTATCTGAGGAATGTTTTAGGACAGTGTCCATTGAAGACAAGGATAAATAAAGACAGTTTAGAGACTAATTCATTACAGAAATTACTAGGTGAAAAGTCATTGGTCGCTGAGATGTCTGTCCGTTGTGTATCGAAGTGATAAGAGTTGTTAGGTCCGGACACTAATGAGCCGTCTATCACAGGACCTAAAGTGAAGAACATTTGAAGCGGAGTACAACCTCAAGGCTTTTCAAAGTGTCTGGCATCTTTATCGTCTAATCATGAGGGAACATACCAAATATCTTTAATAGCGGAATGGCAGTTGTTGACAAAACTATGGCTACTTTGTGAGTACGCCAATGGATATCCTGTAACTTATATCTAATGATAATAGGACTTTATTCAGGATTGGAGACTGTGATAATAAGTTCTATTTAAAGACTTGTATTGCCAAAGAGGATTTTCAATGATGCCGAGCGACATAGTGTCCTTTACATTTGACGGATGTAAGTTGAATCCACTACAGTATCGCTGTTACATACAGTGAACAACTGAATTATTCATACCACTTTACATTAAATGTTATTTTTTCCATGACTCAAGAATGAACGGTGGACTGGTTGAATTATAGGGCATTTGTTGAATACTTTTAGATGTATGGCGACTGGCTGGAATGCTCCCCAGGGAGTGGAAAATGTGCATACATTGTGTGCGGGTACGCCTGAATCCAATGACCGGGGTAATAATATATCTGTAAAGGGCTTAGGCACATCGTTGGATCGATGTATTGAGTGCTATATAAATACGGAATATTATTAATATTATTATAAGCTCTAATATGTCACATTCTTGAAAAACATAAATTTGAACAAATCAATTTTTCACATGCTTAAAAAATGACAAAACTTGGTAAGGGTATGAATGATTTTAGTTGTTAACGAGAATCTCTGTCTATTCACTTCTCTTGTTCCCTGAGAAGAATATGAATAGAAAGAGATTCATGATTCATATTTGATGAAATGTGCCATTTCCATGGGAGGAAAATGTTAATCACTTCTTTTGCAAATGGTTTATTTTCCCTGGAGGGACATTGTTATACATTAAATTAGTAGTAGTAGTACATACAGTTAACACCAGAATTATTCATACCCTTAATATCGAGTTTTGTAAAAAAAAAAAACAAGTTTGTGAAAATTTGATTGTCCCAATTTATGTTTTTTGAGAATGTGACATATGAAAGCTGACATCTAAAAGTATTCAACAAAGGCCCTATTAAATTCAACCAGTCCACCTTTCATTCTTGAACTTAACATAGAAAATACACACAAAAAGTATCAAATTTACAACAGGTATGAATAATTCTGTTGTTAACTGCAAGTAATTACCAACTGAAAGGTGGGAAGATGATAAAGTAGATCAAAATACTTGATTACTGTACTAATATATCCCACTGCTGACACCATTTAAAAGTAAGAATCTTCTTTTGAGAACCAGCAGGGATTAAGTTGATGTTGAAGACTTTAAGTATACAAGTTTATATCCTTCTGGATCCTAACAGTTGATATCTAGTTCTGGGCGGTGTTTCACAAAGATCCTAAGTAGAACTTAACACTAAGTTGGACTTAAAAATTATGGACAGCCATTAGCATCTTTGAAAATATTTTGTAAAAGTTATTTTGAAAAGCTTTAATTGTTTATTCAAATCATTCATATTTTCTATCATCAAGGAGATTTCATGTTCTGGATGTGGAATTTATAAAAAGTCTAAAATACTTGAATTTCTGCTTTTGAATATATTTCATTTTAAGACTCCAATGGCTGTCCATAAGTTTTAAGTCCAACTTAGAGTTAAGTTCTACTTAGGATCTTTGTGAAACACCCCCCTGGTAGCAAAACTGGAATTGGAATGGAACTTGTCATATATCCACATATTGTAACTCTTGTATCATAAGGTATATGTTGGATGTTCCATCTAAGATTTCTGGTGGAAGATTATTCTTTAGTGAATTTGATAAAATTATGTTTAAAGGTAAAGACCAGTATTGGTAACGCCCCAATTTCAAAAAATGAAATGGAAGCTCGCATTACCAATCATGTGAAAGAATATGTTTTGACTAATACATGATGATAAAAAATTTGCCGGGAAACTGCCTACTAATTTATATATTTGGTAAATTTATTTCTCTCATGGTCGTGTGAGAGAGATAGGGTAGTCCCATATACATCTTTCTGTGTATAGTGCTTGTAACTTTACGAAGAATGGGCCAAATTTCTTATCATTTTGATGATTCCAGAACCTTGCAGATGCTAGATGCTAGATGATCAACCTTTTCTGATCGATTCCACAACGTTTCTTTCACAATGCAATCGCATGACCATTACTGGTCTTTACCTTTAAAGGAATGTCATTATTAGGCTACAAAACATCTGCTGTTGGCCTGGGAGCAGGCCTCGATCGTCCCACGTTAGAACCTCACAGATATTTTTTACAAAGTTTCTTAGATCCACAGCTACAGCTACAGTATGTTTTACATGTAGCCGTTGCATGAAGGACTTTATATGTCTGGTCCAGGCATGTTAATTATTTTGCAAATCTTATTTGTTTGATATTACTCATGAGGAGGAGACGGAACTTCATGGTTGCTTTATACATGTAGGTTTGTCGGTATTTTGCTTTTTATCAAATACAGTGAAAAGAAAGCTGGCAAAAAGTTTTTAGGGTTTTATCAAAACTGTTCATGGGCTTTAAGATGATATGAAACCTGTCAAATTATATTTGCTCACTGCTGGAATATATATAATTTGCATTGCTTTCAAAGTGTGTCGAAACATGCAGTTCCTACCCAGAGGTACATGTACATGACACCTTTCATTGAGCTGCTGGCACCATGAAACGATGCGCTGGTTGTGTATGTTATGTATATCTGAATCATTGATAAGTTAATGTTCCTCATAGATGGCACATCCTCCTCCTTCAAGACATTTTGTCTTGTGAGTTCCTCCATGATGGCTTTGGGACATGACTAAAACCAATTTCAAAATAACATTCCCTAGCTAAGACTATAATTCTTTATTATAAGCACAGAACAGATGTCCTGTACAAACTGAAATAGTCTGTTGGTATTAATGGTCAATTTCTCTCACTTAAGGGGGGTGTAGCATGACGAGACTACATGTCTTTCCTGTGGCCTCAATAGGGGCCAATCGGGTATAATATGACTACGGACAACGGGACCGCAGTACGTGAAACCGAAGCGTGATGAGAACTTTTATCAAGTCCATTCGTTAACGTGCAGTTGTCCATAAGAAGTTGTAGATGGCGTTAACCAGTATTTGCCATGCTACACCCCCTTTAAGGTTCCTTTGACATCCTTCTCCAAGATGTCTTGGTCTATGAGTTCCTCTGAACCAGGAACCAGGAACACGATTCCTTCACCTTGACTAGCTTGGCACAGAGCAGTTGTATTGAACTACTTGAAATAATGGATCAACAAGAACGTATTGTTTTAAGGGTTGTTCTCTCCTTCCGTTCAGGTGCTCATGATATCCTCCTCGGGGAGCACGTGGGCAGGGTTCTAGGGTTCCAGGACCGGTCCAGGATCACATTGTTTTAATGACTATTCTCTCCTTCCGTTCAGGTGCTCATGACATCCTCCTCCGAGATGTCATGCACTCTGGCTTCCTCTACAAGAAGGCTCAGGATCGTAAGGTGGATGTCCTAGGAGAGGTCGGGGAGCATGTGGGCAGGGTTCTGGGGTTCCAGGACCGGTCAAGAAGGTGGCAGCTACGCTACGTCATCATCTATCAGCACTATGTATTGTACTTCAGGGACGACAAGGCCAAGAAGCCACAGGGAGTCTTCTCCCTGACAGGCTACAACAGGTAATAATAATGATGATTATTTAACTGTAATTTTTGTATAAACACACAGGCACAATTGCATGTTTCTATGCACTTTACAGAACAAAATACAGAAGAAGTGGAAATACACTGGGTTTATAATAAGTAAGGTAAGGGAGGTTACTTGATTTAATTGATTTAATTTGATTTGCCAATGTTAAATTGTTCAAAAATCAGCAAAAATTTATCACACACACACATACAATTATATATAGGGTTTATTTGTAGGTCCTCTTGTCAGGATTAGTCCAAATTAAAGATAAACTTGAGTTCTGGTAAAAAAAAGAAAATGAATTCTCACAGAATCTAACAAAATTTACACTGAATGTTCAAGATTACAAATAAATTTCATGTGCCAAACAATTTTGGAAGACAATGTATACTGGCTGAGTAATGAGCATAGAAAGATAAGGAAATCAGGGTAGTACCAGCCCCGACACCATGTGTGTTGTCCCATATACATCTTCCTGTGTAAGTGATTGTTACTTTACCAAGACTCTGCCAAATTTATGATGATTTTGATGACTCCAGAACCTTGCATTACACACCATTACTTACATGCTATATGATCAACTTTACTGATCCATTCCACACATTTTCTTTCACAATGCAATCGCATTACCAGAACTTAAGTTTATCTTTAAGAAGGAAGACAAAATATTTTTGTCACATCATAAGATGCAAAAGCTTCTAAAAAAAAAAAATTGAAATTTAGTTCTGGGGTACTAGATCACTATTAGGATATGTGGAAACTCCAGTTCGTAACTCTGTCATGATGTAAAATGTGTTACATTTAGAACTCTCCCATTAATTTAATGCTATTGTTTATCTTCAAAATAGCATTATTTTTGTAATTCAGTGACAGACTCCTTTTCCATGATACAGTAAGTGTAACATTCATGGTTTATGCTTTTTCAAATGAAGATGAACTAATGAAAAACACATCCTCTTGCAACCAATGAATTATGTATTTTTCTGTCATGATAACCAAACACCAATTCAAAGAAATTTTCAAGTTTCAAGTTTATTTCCAGATTTGGTTAAAAAATCAAAGAAATACAATCAACATGGGTGTGTGTATATAAAACAAAGATTTTAGAAATACATGTACTACTGGTATTCATAATGTGGTGGGAATAATAAAGGCCAACAGGCCTATCAAGGTAATTCCCACACTAAATAAAATGATTTTTTTTTTTTTTTAAATTGTTTATTATAAGGAAATTGGCCCCCCAAAAATAAAAACACTGGTCCACACTACCCATACCTGTTAGTATAATAAATATATTTTCTATTTTTAATGTCTTTGAATCAAGGGTCATGCGAGATGAGGCAGTGTCAGACGAGAGAAAATGGTCCTTCAAGATCATTGGGTTGAGGTCAGATTCCAGAACATGGTACTTCAATGCAGCATCAGAAAAAGAAATGAAGGTTTGTCCTGCATATTTTATAAATTCTTGGAAGATAATATTATTCCTTTCTTGTAAAGTGCATGCACATCAATTCATGATATGATGTTACAATCTTGCACTTCCAAAGAGTTTAGAATGTGATCATGTTGCTTTAGCTCTGGCAACTGTTACCAGTGCACTGTGCGTTTCAAGGAATAATTATACTAGATATCTATCTGTATCACCTGGGTTGAGTGTGTCAAATGTAGATTAATGTCCTAGCACTGTGGCTGAGATATTAACCCTTTTCCTTGTGGTTGACAGCCTGGTGGCGTCATAAAGTCAAGTATGAAATCCTGGTCTGAATTATAAGCATCTTAAAATTTTCCTTGCATTTTTTTCTTTTCCTGAAATTGACTGGTCAGGGCTACAAGGAAATATTAATTTCTACGCTGGAGGCTGTATGACTCAATTTTTGTTGACCAAGTTTTGATGGAAATGAAAAGGAGGGGGAAAGTTTAAACTGCTACCTGTGTGTCCCATTAGTGGGTCACATCCGCTAATTTGTTCAAGGGGTAAGGCACACCGAGAGATGACCCAAAAGGACAGAGTGATAAAAAGATGATTTTGACATACTCTTCCTATTTCCAATTCAATCCAATCTTTATCCAATATTTGTTTTAAAAGGATATCAAGATTCAAGATTTTATTTGTCCATAATATACAGAAATTTGTTTTCCATTGGTGTAACATGTAATATATAAAACATAAGACAAAAACATGGTGTCGTGTGCTGAAAGCCAGAAGAGCGTCAAGACTGCAAAGGAAAAGTCTATGAGCAGGTACGGTCCTCCGGCTTTCAGAATAAAACAATAGTCATGACAAGACAGTGACTTATACATAGCAAGAATTTTAAATACCATTCTGAATCACATCATGAATAAATTCAGGTATGAATATAAATGTGAATATGAAAGTAGAATAGGACAAGCAGCATCACAAAATACGAGCTGAAAGAGAAAGGAAAAGAGAGCTCAAGCTCGAAGGACTGATAAAAGAGAGAAATATAGGGAGAGTTGATAAGGGTCCAAAGGGAAAGGGGAGGGATAGAGAAGGAGAGATGGCATAATTTCCAATCAGATTATAATGCATGATAGAAAATACATCGCCATAGTAATGTAGAAAAAATCGGCAGCAGAGCTAAACAATGGATGTTTTTGACCCACAAAGGTGATAAGGTGGAAAACTTTCCAACCCAATCCCTACAAATTTATTTTACTAAAATCGCTAGTAATATATTTAGTATTTGTGAGTATACAGTGAAATTATTAAGATGGTTTGGCAAGCATCAACATAAAATGATTGTTGATAAGCAAATGGCCTTCTGAACTTGAAAATTGACCCCTAATTATTGATAATCACCTGTTGGAAATGTAAAGTAGGACCCCCTTGCTTAGGATTATTCCTTGTAATTGTCCTCAAACAAAAGAAAGCATCGAAAATATTATCTGAGTGATATTCGTTGTCTCGCAATCACTAGCGATATTATTTTCAATACTATATCCTCAATGAGTAATATATTTAGCATTAAAAGAAAGCATGTTTCCGGTCTTCAGTACAATGAAAATGTCCAAACATATGTATCATGTAGTCAATGCATTTAGTTTAGGTAGGTTCTTTTTCAAAATATTTTCAAGATTATAATCCAAATCTGAAGCAAATGCAAAAAAGAAGGCATATTATTATTATCACCAAAATGAACACATTTTTGTAATACTTGCTTGCTTATGTTTCATTCCATTTCAGGATGTAAATTGAAATAACAACTGAAATTAAATTATCATTTCCAATAACAAACAAGACAATCAATCCTTTAGGAAGAAATTTTAGAAATATTGTTTCCAGCAAGAAAAAAAAGGATCATCATTTACAATATAAATGATGAAAATACAGAAAAAACCTTAGCTCAAGTACTTCATACAAGATGATTACCAACTTACATTGTTTTTTAAACTATTTTTACATGTAGTGGTGAATCGGACTGCCTCATTTAGAATGAGTTTCATGGGGAACATGTGACTTGTAAAACAAGTGTGCATGCTGCAGTGTGGTACCTCTTAACACTGGCCTTCTTCCAAGGCTTCGTTAATCGTAGTTCTTTGTCACGTACGCAAGGACACAGTGTAGTTCAAAGTATCGGTAGACTCAAATAAGTGATTTGAGAAGTGATGATGTTATGAATAGAGTAATGATGTCATATTGAGAGTGATGTAATGAAGTTTAAGATGATGATGATGGTGGTGATAACAATGGTGGTGATGATGATGATGATGATAGTGATAATAATAATGATGGTGATGATAGTGATGATGCTGATTCCAAGGTTATAATAATAATGATGATGGTGATGATGATGATGATAGTGATACTGTGCCTCAGAATAGTTTACTAGATCGATGGCGCATAAAAAATGCTGTATTTATTATTGTAATCATGGTGATGGTGATGGTGATAATGATGATGATGATGTTGATGATGATGATGATGATAACGATGATGGTAAGAATGACCACTAAGATGATTTTTAGGTTTTACTGTTAGAGTCACTTTCCACTTTTTCTATTTAGTCTAAAAATATGTAGTCATTGAGTTCAATAACTCATAATTGATATATGAACAACTGAGTTTATACTCTTTTAAGGGATAAAGTAAGATAATGCCAACGTAAATGAGTAATGATATCCAGAGTTTCCAACTACCTTTTTCACAAGGGTCCAGATAATTGTTATGGTTAAGAGATGATATCAAACCAAGGGGGTGTTTCACAAAGACTAAGATCGACTTTAAGTTGGACTTAACTATGGCAGGCCGTTCATGCCACTGTTTGCTCTCATCATAATGCTCTTCAGATAATATTTTGTCCTTCAATAATGAATTATCAACAAATGTCAATTCTGTAGAGTTGTGACCATGATTTGTACGTCTCTTGAGAGACCAATGCCAGTAAATGGTGAGAGTAAACAGTGGCATGGACGGCCCGCCATAGTTAAGTCCAACTTAAAGTTGATCTTAGTCTTTGTGAAATACTCCCCAGGGCCCATGTGCATTGGATCCCAGTAAGTGCCATACCCTGCAACATCGCTCAAGTCATTTATGATAAGGAATACATTAGACGTAGATCATATTCTAACTTCAAAACTTCAATACCGCGTCATGGGATTGAAGTACCTCTAATACGACTGACAGGGAGACTATAAAGCAGTTGTTCGGTCATGTCACACGTCACACGTACGAGTAAGAGATGAGTCGAAGCTCCGATCCGTAGCGTGGGTTTCCCAGGGAAAGCGGAAGCTTGTCACCCGGTTTGAACAGGAGAGGAAAGGATTCTATTACCGACCCGATGACTGACTAGTAGGGGTCCTGTAGTACGGTTCGTTCACATATAGGTTTAACAGATCAGCAGGGGGTGTTTCACAAAGATCCTAAGTCGAACTTGACTCTAAGTTGGACTTCAACATTATGGAGAGCAATTTGTATCCTTAAAATAAAAAATATATTCAAAAGCAACAAGTATTTTTAGACTTTTCATAAATTCCAAATCAAGAACATGAAATCTCTTTGATAATATTTGAATGATTTGAATCCACATTTTATGCTTTTTTAAAATAAATTTTACAAAATATTTTCAAAGGTGCTAATGGCGTTCTATAGTTGTTAAGTCCAACTTAGAGATAAGTTCAACTTAGGATCTTTGTGAAACACCCCCAAGGTGTTTTTTTTTTTTTTTAAATTAATGATGACTTAAAGTGTAATATGATTCACATTTATGTATCTTGTAACACAGAGCTCAGTACATGTAGGACCTGTGTTGTGCGCAGTTACCATTCATTAACACATAAAATAATGCAGCATTGTTGTTTTTTTACAGTGTTTTAGCTCTTCTTATCTGAAAGAGCTTTCATCTTGCCTAGGCTGTTTATCATATCATATGTGAACAAAACCTTAGTCAATGAATGAACGCAATAAGTTTTGCATGTCATTTGATAGGAAGGGGGAAAGGGAAGGGAAGGGGGATGCAGTCATAGTTACTACATCTCAAGTCTCTGCCTTTGCTGAATATAAGAAATTCTGTGATATTCTTTTAGAACATATTCTTTAGTATATTCTTTGCAATAATGAAGTAGTTCGTTTATTAATGCATGGTATTTTGATAGTTGGTAAAGATGACAGTTACTGTTCCAAATGTTGAGAATTTTATCCCTTGATCGGCTTCAGTATGACACATGAAATATTATATACCCCCCCCCCCAAAAAAAAAAGATGAATAAGCTCAAAATGGTAAATTTTGCTACCATTTTCTGGAATTCCCTCTACTTCGTAAGACATACATATATAGATTACGTATCGGTCAAAGTTTAAACAAAACACTCCACAATAGATAGCAAACAGAAATAGCTAGATAGTTTTAAATGATAACACCATGTGATTATGTTACTGTAACTTCAATCGTGTTATATTGATTTAGCAGCTGAAATAACAATAGAATTTCATTATTTTTCCGTCTTTAAGAGGCTCCTCGATAAACAATACACGTACGCCTTCTTTCCGTCTTTGTTTCCTTCGAATCATGCGCATCAAATATATTCAAGTCTTCTTGTTTTCACTAGGTATATTTGCCTATGATATCATGTATCTTTAAGAAATGTGTATTCAATTTGGAGGGTATTACTGTGGAAATCAAGGAAACGACAGACAATCCCAAATTGTTGTAGTTGGTTGGGGACGTTGGCAAGAGGCTCTGTTTATCATGGCGAGAGTCCAAGTGGGGAGTACGGGCATGAATTTCAATTGAAATTTTGATGTATTTTCGGCATTTGAGTATGTCCATTGTAATAATAACCACTTTTCCTTGAAAAAGAATTATGAGCATTAGATAACCACTCATGTAAAATATATTTAGAATCACTTATGGATATTAGCGTTAATCCTGATATACAGTATATGTATATATGGAAAGTGCCATTGTTTAATTTGCTTTTTCTTATAAAAGTCAACATAATACTACTCTTAGAACATAAATTTAGAATCAAATTAGTGGTGATAATTGTAGTCTTGATTAATTCTACTTCTACATGTACTTCTATTTATACTTATACTTGTATTTGTACTTGTACTTATACTTATATTTATATTTAAATACTAATACTTAAACTTGTAATTATACTTATACTTAGACTTACCGTATACTTTTATGACAATACTCTGCAGGTTCCTTTTAGAAGGATGTCGTGCTAAGGATTTTGGCGTAGGTGCTTATTTGCAGTGCATTAAATATTATCTATGGTCTTGTACTCATATCCACTCTTTCTCTGACAAGAAAGGAAATGGATACCAAATTGTTAGAATGAATTTACTATCATATCATTTAACAGATTTCAATGTATTTTCACATATTTTTGGCAATAGTACCAGTTGTTGTTTTAGAAACCTTTTACTTAGAAAGCAAGAAAGAAAATATGCATCCCACTTTGTAATAATTGGAAACTTAATTGCATAAAAGTCAAGCTGCAATTGATCGCAACTCAGATCAAACGCAAATATCATACGCAACTTGTAATCAAACACAACTTTGTGTTTGGTCATATATCTATCATAAAGTTGCGTTTGATCCTTTTATCTGCTTGAAAGATTTGTTTAAAATCAAACGCAACTCTTTATGCAATGGCGGACCTCCGTTTGATTTTTAGAGTTGCGTTTAAATGCAACTCTTTATGCAAGAGGGCCCAGGGCATCATTGCTGAATCCCTGCTTGTATGTTTCTGTAGGGAGTATTAATCTAAAGGGGAAGGAGAGAAAGAAGGAGGGAGGAGAGAAGGAGAGATAGATAGAGGAAGCAAACAGAGAAGGGAGGGAAGGGAGAATGCATAGGAAGGAGAAAAGAAGAAAATTATTTATTTGTAAAATAAAAGAGGGACATATGAAGAAGCAAGGTAGATGAGTTGAAGTCAATCAAGATGAACCTTGCACCCCCTCTTTGACAGTGATCTCATCCATATAATGTCATAGCCTGCCGTTCATAATTAGCGACTCACCTTATCCTATCTGTCCAAATGTCACTTTGTCAGGCAAGTTCAAGTGCATGTCTTTGTGATGTTTTAGTGCATGCACAAAGTCATTATGCTCAGAACTTGTTGAAGTGACAAAGAGGTCAAATTGATATACCCAAAATTTTATTCAAGCAGTATTTAACATTTCTAAACTCCACTCATTTCAAGTGCATTGATTTTGAACAATCGACTTAGTAGTAGTAGCTGTAGTACTACTCTGTAGTAGTAGCTTTTAATCGGAAATCAGCCATTGGCAACAGTTTCTCTTTCTATACCCCATTGTTCTGCTTTCCTTAACTGTCAGACATATTCACGCTAGACAGGACTTACTTACTTTCTTTAATACCTCTGGCTGGGCTTAATATTTTGTTATGAGCATTGACAACTGTCTCTAGCAAAGTCTGAATGTGAAAATTGTTGGGTTAGGGTAATTACCAGATATAATTGCTGATTGAACCACTTAATAACTTTCAGTTTCCATCCTTCTATATTTGGGGGGGAAGGTTATGACCCTTGCCAACTTTCTCTAGCAAAGTCTGAATGTAACAATGGTTTGTTAAGTATAATTACCAGATGTAATTGCTGATTAAATCACTTAATAACTTTCAGTTTCTATCTGTATCTGTAAGAAAGAAAGTGTTAACTGTTCTGCTGGCGAGACAGAAAATGAGTTTAATAGCCTCTTGAGTAGGATTTGGTGAAGTTATATGAAAATTCAATGCAATTCAATTCAATTCAATTCAATTCATTTAAATTCCATTCAATATTTCGTCATGCAATATTAGTTTGATTATTAATTTCTATTTTGTTTCCTTTAATACAGCTATGGATGGCATATTTCAAAGTAGCTATGGAACAAGCAATTCATGGAAAAGCAAGAGAAAAGTAAGTATCTCCCAGACTGTGAAATGGAACAAATTGAAAAAATAATCTTAAGAAATATTTCCCAAGTATGGCCCCATGAAGGGTTAAGAATCATGTGTGACCGAGAAAAGAAAAATAGCCATGTAGAGAGATTATTTATTTTGTAAGTGTCAGTTTTGTATACCTTGTATACTAGAATGTTTAGAGTCTTATCAACCCTTTTTGTATATGAGCTTAAAACCATCATTGTTTCATATATAAAAGTCATTAAAATCTTCAAGGTTTGAAATAGAAGAAAAGCTATTGAGACATTTTTTATTTGTATTTTGCAAGAATATTTTCAAGTGTTTAAAAAACTTCATGTGACACAATAAATCTTTCTTATTGCAATTTTCATTTAAAATTCTGTAGACAAGCATGAGTTATACATTTATATACATATAGATTCAGAACATTAAACATTTCACTAAAAAGTACACGACTGAACTTCTACAATATCATCACATGAACTTACTCTCTGTGTTTTTTCTATCAAGGTCATTAAAAATCCTTCAGGATCTGAAATACAAGAACAGCCATCGAGACACGCTCTTCGAGGACGAGTCAAGGCACTCGGGGTCAAGCAGCGGGGGTCAACAAGCGGATCGAATGACCCCTTGGTCTACGAGGATATCGAGATGCCCCTCTACGATGACACAGCGAGTCCTACCAGTCCTAACGCACCCCTCCATAGACCCCTGCCATCGTTACCTACAGACGATTTTGATTCGTGTGAGGATTCATTCTTTTTCTTTGAATTTTTGTTGTTGTTGTAATACTCTGTTGTTTTTATACAAATGTAAAACCCTGATACAGTCAAACCTGCTTTAGTGACCACCTGTCTACAAAGGCCACATTTATTGTTTCCTTGAAAATGGTTTCTCATTGAATCATGTACTAAAAGAACCTGTCTACAAAGACCACCTGTATACAAAGGCCACTTTTTGTGTTTCCCTTGGGTGGTTGCCACAGACAGGTTTGACTGTATAACAATTAAGGTAGGAGCTTTTTTGTCTTGATAGGGTTTTCTATCAAAAAGAGCAGTACAGTCAAGCTGCTTTTGCAACCACCTGTCTTTAAAGACCATATTTTGTGTCTCACTTGACCAGTGTTTGTCATTGACACATGTATTAAAAGAACCTGTACAAGAAGACCACCTGCTTTCAAAGACCACCTGTCTTGCTTTCCTTCGGTGGTTTACATGTATGTCATGTGCGATAGAACCTCTAGTAGATTTTCTCAGAGCTCTATGTGTGATTATTTAACTTGAAAAGTGCACATAAACCATAGCATAAGAACAAAAATTGATGCTAAATATGATCCCAATTTAATAAGAAAACAATTTAATAAGAAAAGGATTGTTGCTAAATATGATCCCCATTTAATCATCAGGTCCAAGGCGGTCATCAGCTGGTGCTATGTCGGGCATTAAAAGACCAAATCAATTGTCTACAAGATCACCAATGGATGCAGATCAGGCAGGTAAGAAACGATTCCGCCTCCAATCGGGTGTTGCTATTATTTAACGCAACTGTAAGTGTTGTTTGGAAGTTCAGATTTGCAGGGCAAGAAGATAACTTGGAGAGTAGATTTGTGGTACAACCATGTGGAAGTCCTTAAAAGGACTGTTTGTATTCTTGTTGTCTGTTGACAAGACAATTAAACTGTCCATAACATCAAGTCTTTAATGAGTCTCTGTCTTTATCAGGCCTTCTCAATCAACACAAAAGAATTCAAACAGTCCTTTTAAGGACTATCGACATGGTTGTTCCACAAATCTGCTTTCTAAGAAACTGTAGATGATGATAAAATTGTCTGTTGATAGCCAGAAAAGCATTAGCTGCTATCTTTCGCACAGACTTGACGCTCTGCAGGCTCTCAGCAGACGATATTTGATTTAAAAAATAACTTATATGATTGGCCTTTGTAGCATTTTAATGGAGAGATCTATACTTCAGAATCAGATATGAGAAATGATAGCCAGTTCTTGATTAAATGAGCAAACCATGCCGATATGGTTTCGCTTCTCGTCACCATAGTTTATGATAGATCTTATTTTTTGTTAATATTTTATCTACTGGTATCTTATTCAAATATATTTATACAGGAACACAAGATCAGTATGTTACTTTTTATGCCTCCGCCACCGAAGGTGGTGCCGGAGGCATCATGTTTTCGGGTTGTCCGTCCGTACGTCCGTCCCGTTTGACCGTTATCACAATATCTCAAGAACCATTTAAGATTTAAACTTAAGACTCGGGAATAGTATTTATCACCATAGGAAGACGATCTGGGGCCCGTTTCATAAAGCATTTACCGCAGCGGTAAGTCCCATTTTCAGCGGTAAATTCCAGTTTCAGCGGTAAATTTGGAAGCAGCGGTAACTTTCCGTTTCATAAAACTTTACCGCTGAAAAAAGCAGCGGTAAGTGGTCATACCAACGGTAACAGTTACCGCAGCTTCATGAGGTGCGGTAAGTGTTGTTATTGCTATGTTTTTCCATAGACCTGTGTACAAAAGTGTTCAAATAAAGCAATTTTTTTAAATTTCCCATAGGCTGGTGTACAAATTTAGTATATTCTGCCATTCTTTTCACTAATTTCACATTATTCAACATTCATGCCATCCAAACCTCAATCTGACAATACAGGGAAACATTCCCTATGTCATTAAGTTCACAGCAATTCATCTTGCTTCGCTCCTTGAAAACAAGCCATCTTCATTGGAATTCACATCCTGAATTCCAATGAAGATAGACACCTCACTTGCATTGTACATGAAAATATCCATTCACTGATCTCCACACAAAGAACTATACTGAAATGATGACAATATTTAACAGATCAATTCGTTATTAATCAAGTTTGGATTTTAATTCATTTGATCCCTTCCTCGAAAGGTTAACGGAATAGCAGAGAGGGGGGGGGGGGGGATCGCAGCTTGAGGTTCTTTTGGGACAAAGTTTCTTATCAAATTTAGAAGCTTAACCCTACCTTAAGGCTAATACCAGTTACATAAATCAATGCTTCAACAAGTGTTTGTTACGATTTGTTCAAGCATGACTGGTCGAGTTTTGTGCAGTAGTTCTACAATCCATTAATTTAGTACATGTATATTGCAAGTAGTCCACAGTCAGGAGAGTCACAAACTCCTCTACCCCCACTGTCTCATCTTGATTCCTGAAGAGCCATGTCTGATTAGAGATGAACTTGAGAGAAATATCCAGTATCCACATTGTTTTGGAGTTGCGTGCTCCTTTGGCTGACTGCTCCTCTTTAACTACTGAAGACAAGTCCACTTGCATCTTTGTAACCAATGCTGACAAGCTGGCTGTTCATGAACAAAAGATTAGTTGAAGAAAAAGAAAAAAAAATCAAATGTTGTACAAGCACTTTAAGATGTAAAGCTAACATCATCAGTGTATTTCTTCTCCTTTTTGTTCTTCTGCTTCTTTTAGTAATCTTCAAAAGGCTATTAGTTTTATATAATGTTGCAAAATTGTTTTTGATTTTCTGATGGTATAACTCTATGATCAAATAAACATTTACTTTACTTATATTAAAGAGAACTGTTGCTGAGCTAGCGCCATGAGTGTCCATGGACGGTGTGTGCACTCTATAAGTTTACACTATTATTATTATTATCATTAACATACTGTTTGCTCGACAGGAGTACATTCCTATATTTCATGCTTTTTTGTCATGATTTTTTTGTAAACAAAAATATTTGTTATTATCACACTTTTGGGGCGACTACCTCCAGGATATAGCCATATGCGATAATAAGGCCTTGTATTGATGGGCTGACTGCCCCCCCCCCCCCAAAAAAAAAAAAAAAAAAAAAAAGGAGAGAGAAAAAAAAAATGATAATAATGAAATAAATAAATAATTACAAAATAAACAATTTAATTAATAACAATTTTAGTTCTAAAAATCAATAACAACAAATTCCTATATAGGAGTATGAAAAAGGAGATTAAATCGTATTCTGTCGCCTTTCTTAATCACTAAACCAAATGTTGATTGTAGGTTACTGTTGTCTAGAGAATATATTGTGAAAGTGGGATGGGTTGCAGGAAGCATGGATGGGTTGGTTGACAATTACAACTGACAGTTCATGCTCTTCTATTGGGCAACTTACTTCAGACACTGTCATCTGGTCTCTGAGCTTTAGACAGCAAGGTCCTTGTCTTGTCTGCCATATCATCATGAGCTTCTGCATTACATGTACAGGCACCTGTTTGTACAGAGACATACAATGAGTTCACTTTTATGGCATGTTCATGAAAGCAGTGTAAAATAATAACTATAAATTTAACAGCAGGGTATGTTTTTGCAGAAATTTTAGAACTTGAAGTAAAGGTGTAATAAAATATCAACTTTCAACAATACCAGTACCGGACTACCGGTATGTAGAAAGGGATTTAGGGTTACCAAACTTTGGGTACAGAATGTTTAAATAAATTTATGTTTTGCAATAGATCCAGGATTAAGGTTAAGAATTAATTTTGTGTTACAGCATAACCAGTAAACAATTGCCATTGTCGTAAAAATCGCTTACTTCTTTTAATTGGTAATACATTTCTACAATACATGTTTCACAAACTGCAGGTCAGTGTATTATTACTTTACTAAAGCTATTGTAAATGATGGAAAGAAGTCTGTATACTATTTCCCCTTCCACTCTTCATCATGTTTAAGCTGCTATCACAATACAGATGATGAGCAACATACATGCAGCTTCACCAGCACCTGCAAAATTGTGTTGGATGACACTTCATCCAGTGACCACAGCTCCACGTCAATTTCCTACACTGTTAAACGAAATAATTAACATTATCCTGGACCCAACACTCGACCAAAACCTAACCCTAAACCACCTCAATCCCAATTGCAGCCCTCGACCGAACCCTATACATTTGACGAAATAAAGCCTGGAGCAGTCGTTGCAGGGGTAAATGTCGGTTCGCTAAAAATGCCATGACAGACTCAAATCCTATGAATTTATCTCGAATTATTACCCAGATTGGTTAAAAAACATGTAATATTTATTATGAATTACCAGTCCATTGTGCTTTGCTCCTCCAAGAGGCCATCGCTTTGAGGTAAAGGGCAGAAATTCAAGGCCGGAACCTCAAGGCACCCCATGATCTTTCTACAGGAAGCCCTCCTTCTGGAACAGAATTATAAACACTTCAATAAATATTGACAAAATATGAAAGAAAATACAAATATAATAGCATTATTAAATATTGCTTGCCATTCCTTTTCATATTATTGACCCCCCCCCCCCCCCCCCCACTTTCTACATTAACTTCAAATGTTAATTCTAAAAAGAGATACATTGGAAGTTAAAACACTATACAGCAACTTGTTACTAGACATTTTGATGCATAGCCACCCCTTTGCATCCCCACAGGTTCCTTTAGTACATGTTTCAATGAGAAACCATTTTAAAGGGAGACAAAAAATGTGGTCTTTATAAGACAGGTGGTCACTAAAGCAGGTTTGACTGTATATGCTTACCTTCTCTTGTGACGGTCTGTTTTCTCCAGGTCATTCTTGTTTCAAGCACATTCTCAGAGGAGGCAAGCATTTGATACTGCGACAAGTCTCAATGTACATTTTCCTGTAAAAGAGAGGGGGAATTTAATATTTAGAATGAAAACTGAGTATGACCATTTAATGTTTGATGAGCATTTGCAGAATTAACGTGTTTTAATTTGGATTTCACACAAAAAAACCTCCTTCATTATTAGGCCAACTAACAAAAATGGGAGTTACTCGTCCTTTATTTTCTATTAAAGGAGGAGGCAGGGCATTACTATTTACTAATTTTTAATTTTTTGATATTTTTGTCCAAAATGACGTCATGCTAAATATAGCTGGCCAAGGTATATTTATTAACAGATATTGAGCTCAGGCGCGTACGCAGGGGTTGGGGGGTTGAACCCCCCCCCCCTCAAATTTTTGTTGTTGTGTGTTTTGGAGGAAACCCCCCCCCCCCCCCCAACAAAATCACACAAAAAAAACAAAAAAAATTTGTACTAATGGGTGACCCAAAAAACCTGACTTACCCGGCCAGGCTTTAAATTTCAATATTTTTAGGGCAAGGCCACTTTTCTGTGGGGCACATTCCTTTATTACAGCACAAATAGAAAGAATTGGAAAGGGCACAAAAAATCTCCAAGGCCAATGAGAGGGGCATTGAGGCCAATCAAAAGGGCATCCACGACCATGGCCTTGGATTAATTTAAGCCTATACCCCCCCCCCCAAACAGATCGAAATAGCAATCGACCAAATTTTTAGGACAAAAAAAATAATAATTAAAAAGGTGCTCTTACCCCCCCCCCCCCCCCCTCCCCCCGCTTATTCAGCGACTCTCTGAGTCGTTGCGAAATTTTTTATCAATCCTGGACCAAAAAAAATGTGCTCTTATCCCCCCCCCCCCCCTTTCATGCAACCAATCTTGAAAAGTAGCCCCCGAAAGTGTTTAAATATTTTTTCTCTGCTACAGTAGCTTTAGTCTCTTTAGTCTTAAGACTAGACCCTACGCAAAAACTATGCAAAAAACAACTAGGCGTTGTGGCGTGCGCCTGTAATCCAGCTAAAAAGTGGAAGTTACAAACTGATTCAGCCGAGGACGCAGGTTCGAAACTGAGTCACGTCTTTCGGATGGTGACGTTTAAATAATAATAATAATATTTAATTTTTATATAGCGCTTAATACAAATGTCTCTAAGCGCTTTAAAAATATATACTATTACTATTATTACTATTATTATTACTATATTACTATTAAAGGTCGGTCCCAGACGTAAATAATCATATCTGATTGATACACCAGACCTGCCAACCTCTGGAGTTCAAAAACTGTATTCTTTAATCCCAAAAGTTGTATTTTGCTGACAAAAGTTGTATTCTTAAAAATAAACATGAACTGTTACGTGGATCAATTAATGCCTCTTACAGTTCCTACATACAGGAAGAATTTTTTTATTGATCGTTGGTTGAATATGCATGATTTCGTCACGACTGGTGTGTTCGATGAACCAATGAACATCCCCAAATTGCCAATGTGAGATGCTTTATAGGACAGAATGGGCATTTTGCCATTGAAAATGGCACACACACACACAAAATGCCAAAAAAAAAAATATATATTTAAAAAAAAAAAAAAAAAAAAAAAAAAAAAAAAAAACATTTTTTTTGTTTTTTTGTTTTTGTTTGGAAAATCGTATTTTTGTCGTATTTGCTTCTAAAAATCGTACTAAATACTACTAAATCGTACTGGTTGGCAGGTCTGTATTACACGTCTGTAAAAACCCAATACACACACACACACATTAAAGATCTTTCAGACAGTAGACTAGACTCGTCTCTAAAACTATAACGTCTAAGTTAGATCTAGACTCTAGTCTAGTCTAGATCTAGACTAGAGTCTATTGAAATCTAAATCTAGACACTGTTTGGGTTCTTGCAGTTTACTGCAGGAGTTGCTGTTTCAATAATTAGGATAAAATAGAACTGTAATATTCGGTTCTAAATTTATTAAATCCGACACTAAGCTCAGCTCAGCCAGCTCAGTCACTCCAGACAACAGCATCGAATGACGGTAGGACCGATGCATAAGTGCCCGCCACCAGCCCGGGCGTTACACGCAGCTCCCGCTCTCGGTTTGGGCGCATGAAATTTGACAAACACTCGCACGCGAGCTCTCATAATCAATCTTTGTTTAACCGCTGGAAAAGTATTTAAATATAAATAAGCACACATATGTCGAGTTATGAATATAATTCTTCGTATTATGGAATAAATATGACATGTACTTACGGGATTTCTATGAAAAAAACATTTCAAGCACCGAAGTTGAGTTCATTGTCACGGTGATTGCAGACGACGGCAAAGCACAATGGAGCTATTGCGCACGCGCATAATCGTAATGATCGTTTTTTAAACGATCACTTTGTTATTAGTTTTATGAAACGTATTTTCACTTCAATAACAAGCTACGATAGTCGTAATCAGATTTGTCATAGATACCAGATTTGTTATAGTCGTAAGTCAAAAGCTTTATGAAACACCCCCCTGATTAGATTTTGGAGTACGTAGGTCAAAGGTCACAGGTCACAGAGGTCAACTTATGAAATTCCTTGTATTGAGTTTGTTAGCGCGATATCTCAAGAACCATTTGAGATTTAAACTTCAAACTTAAGGATAGTATGTATCACCATAGGAAGACGATCTGATTAGATTTTGGAGCACGTATGTCAAAGGTCAAGGGTCACAGAGGTCAACTTATGAAATTCCATACATTGAGATTGTTATCATGATATCTCAAGAACCACTGGAGATTTAAACTTCAAACTAAGTGATATTGTGTATCACTATAGGAAAACAATCTGATTACATTTTGGAGCATGTAGGTCAAAGGTCAAGGGTCATAGAGGTCAACTTATGAAATTCCATACATTGAGATTGTTATCATGATATCTCAAGAACCACTGGAGATGTATAAAAACTTCAAACTTAAGGATAGTATGTATCACCATAGGAAGACGATCTGATTAGATTTTGGAGCACGTAGGTCAAAGGTCAAGGGTCACAGAGGTCAACTTATGAAATTCCATACATTGAGATTGTTATCATAATATCTCAAGAACCACTGGAGATTTAAACTTCAAACTTAATGATAGTGTGTATCACCATAGGAAGACAATCTGATTAGATTTTGGAGCACGTAGGTCAAAGGTCAAGGGTCACAGAGGTCAACTTATGAAATTCCATACATTGACATTGTTATCATGATATCTCAAGAACCACTGGAGATTTAAACTCCAAACTTGTTTAAATTGCTCTATGGCGGAGGCATCATTTTCGACTGCGCGCAGTCAAAATTCCATCTAGTTTCCATGTAGGTCCTGACATTAAAACATAAAAATATGAACAATTGTTGAATGATAAAAACAAATTAACAGTCAACATAATAACAAGGAAAAAGATCAAGTCCGAATCTTGAGTTTATAATTTGCAACCATATACTGAAAGTAAAAAAAGTATTACATTTCCTTTCAGGGGGTTTCTGGTATTAACAGACTGTATTCCTTTAAAAATTCTAACTTCATTTTTTTAATTCCATTGGGGCTATAAAAACAGGCTTATTTATGAAGGGCATTGTGATTATTTCTTAGAGGAAATTGCTCAAATCTGGAAGAGTGATTTTATTACCAATGAAAATGCCAATTTTTATTCTACTTTTATTATATTGTTCTTATACATTTCAAGGAAATTTCCTATGGTCAAAGTACTGTCAACTTCTCTTCTATTGTTGTATATTCATATTATCTGTTTGTGTGTATTTGTGTCAGGCAGGACATTGTCAATCAAACCTGATACAAAAAAAATCTAGCCTGTCATAGCAAAGGATATATCAAGGATTATATGGATATCATAAGCCAACAGGGACACTGCTTTCATGAAATACAATCCAGTCATTTTGGAAGTTGCAACAAATTCAAGGATATCCTTAGCCAGATCAGATACCGCTTATTCCAATTATTGTTCTGTCATAAGGGTGATAACAATGGATTTTAGCAAAACTTTAAAAAGATGCATTTATCAAATTACATCTATCTTTAATAGAAGATTCAACTTTGACTTTGAAGATATCTTAACCTAAACTTGATAGCGCTTACATGAAATAATGTCTCATCGAAAGTAATGATGATATTTAAGATGTGAGGGTTTGAGAACAAATGGGCCGAAATGGATAATAATTCAACCCAAAACTATCCTGTCATAAAGTATGAAATAACAGATTCAGGAGTGTCTTAATCTAAAAGGGATACGAGAACAGTTTTGACAACATCAAATCTTAGCCTCAAGGAATGATTCCATCATAAAATACTGTCTCATCATAAGGGATATTACAACAGATGCGACGATATCTTAATCCTAAATAGATCAGACTCTCACAAAATATCTGTCTTGTCATGAGGGATATAACAATGGATTTGCAATGGGATAAAAGTCACAAAAAGTGGAACTTCTGTACCTTGACTACCATGTATGAGTTGGCTGTTTTCATTGTTGACAAAAATCCAACTCAACAAGCATGTCTATCCAAAGAGGATTTACGAGAGATATTTGGCTCCTTCCTATAGATTAAATTTTTCTGAAACTTTAGAGATGGAAATGTCAGATATCATAATGGTTTAAGGCAAACTCAAAAGATTTGAAAGATAATCTCTGTCTTCCTACATTTTTCGATTTGTAGAGATTTTGACGTCCGATATTGCAAAGGTTTGAGGCAAGTTCTGATGGTGATGATAATGTGTACACGTCATAACCAATATCAAAAAATTTGCAATCCTTTATCTGTACGTATATGTCACATTCTCATCTATTCGTATGTAGTGAGGATGAATCTCCTTTATTGATCCCTCGTTCTGTAACATCTTTGTCATTATCGATTGTTCTATATCATTTCTGAGGGACCGTGAGAAACAAACAAAATACAAATCATACGCAATAAACAGGAAGAGGATTTGTTTCACAATTCCTTACCGGTATTTGTATCTGTGTCACATGTAATAATGTATGTTGTTGTTTCTTATCTTCTTATTCATTCTTTTGTTTTCAACCATCTTGTCAGTGTCTACTGTATGTCATTGAAGAAGTCACCAGTATGTTTGTCTCATTGTTGCAGCTGTTCTTGTTTCTTTCTTTTGATGATCATCCTGTTTGTCTTGTCGCTTTTCTTTGATTGTCAAGTTTAGTTCATTATAACTAAGGATTTTCTGTATCTTATCTTCAAGTTGCTATTTCTATTTCTATGCCTGTACCCCTTTAATATCAATAGTAGGTCTAGGATCTAGAACTCACTCCGATCCCACCAAGCATCAAAATGACAGCTCTTCCTCCTCCTCCTCCTCTTCCTCCTCCTCCTCCTCCTCGTCATCCTCCTCCTGTTCATCATCATCTGGGTCTAGAAGGGGGTCATCCACGCCAGGAACGAGACTTAAGATCCCCTCTAACTCGGCGCCAGGCTCACCCAGTAGTCGACCGCGCTTTCCGGAACCGCTTAAGATCCACCGTGAGTTTAGGGATCATCCTCCGTCTTTGGAAAGGATCGATCCTCGGGCACGCGCATGATTGTTCTTTAATAGTGACTAGTAGTGTTGTAGATGGATTGTTAGTCGTGGCCTTGCAGAATCCTGCCTGAGTTCTTTTCCATGTTCCTTCTTATCCATTTTTGCTTTTGTTTTGCAGATCAAGAAAGAATCTCAACCCATCATAACTGAAGTGCAATCCAACCTGTCCATTAAAACCACCTGCGCATTGAGACCACCTGCCTATGAAGACCTTTTCCTTGAGTTGATTTTACTTGTGTTTTTATCTGCAGAACTTCGTCACTGGATGAGTTATACTGTGTTGCTGCTTACAAAGGATTGTTCTTAATGAGCTTCAAAACCAGGATGGCAGGAACATAAATAAATTAACAATTCAGGCATGATGTGGGTTTCAATCCGTATACTAGTAGTGCATACCACTTTTAGGTGATTTTTAGTGACATCTTCACTTGTTTTCTGTCGTTCATGTTCACCATATGCACTATACATGTGTTTATTGTTTATTAAAGATTCAGTTGGTATGTTCATTGTAGCTTCGGAAATATTAATCATCATTTAGTTCATTCGTGGTGCACGTTAGGACATACGTTACTAATAAGTGTTTTTGTTTTTCAACTTCACAGGCTTTGTGGTTACTTGTATAGATGGATGTGGTACATTGCATGCTTTCATGATGCTTGATGATAATGCATCTGAAAAGAACTAAATAAACTAATAAATAAGTAGTCTTCAAGTGCTTCATGAAGGTGTCTAGTGTGGGTGCTGCTGTACCGCTGTTCTGGGACAGTTGATTCCAGAGGCGAGGCGCATATGATCGAAAAGCATTTTCATCTGTCACTGTGGATGTTCTGGGTATGTGGAGAAGAGAGCGTCAAGTAACACCTGGCTGGAATGCTCCCCAGGGACCCCCAGCACTGAATCCAATGACCGGGGTAATAGTATATCTGTAAAGCGCTGTAAGATACTAATCTCTGTTTTGTGAGGACATTTTTTATTTCAGTTGACGATCGGAGTATGACGTCAGAAGCGATGGTTTTTTGGTTGAATTTTAGTCTGCCGAGTGGGGGCGTAGTAAGTTAGCTGCAAATGATTCTCAATTTTGGGAAAAGTCATCCTTCTGATTGCGATCAATATTTAGTATTTCCAGACAAGCCCAATGTTGTGAGTATAATTTGAACATATGATGTTGATAATTGATAACTAGCCGTCAGTTTGAGTTGGGTGTTGGTTTTATACAGTTCATAGTTTTCAGATAATTGATGTATAAAATTTGTTATGAAAGTGATTCGTATGCACAGTAACTTTTATGATGCATTACACGTGCAGTTACATAATACGGTGCATGTGTGAGCGCTATGGGGATAGTCTGTTGTACAGAACGTGTTGTGTTATTTTAATATCATTTATATATAGGCAGTCGTATAAAAGGACAGAATGAAGATAAATTCTGGTTACTGTAGACATGTATGTAAAGAGGAATATAGGGTAATATGTGTAGAGCCAAAAGGGTTATTGTTTTATCATGCACACAAATATTAGTGAACAAAGGAAATAGAAGCAGCCATATTAGGGTATCTTAAAGGTTTTTATTCATCTGCTATAAGGAAATAGAACATAATATTTAGTGGGCATTGATATTTCATTTTGGAACAGTATAATGTGTCATTTCAGTAAACGTGCATTAATCATACAACTCATTTGATGCAAGATTATTGTAAACACAGTTGAAAATCGACATATTATTTATGATTGTTTATAATTCTGATTAAATTTCAGGTTGAATCGCCTTTTGTGAACGGTATCGCATCATGCTTGAAATTGTCGCTATTTATTGAAGTGCAGTCAGTCCGATTGGCAAGTTATACGCTACATTAAGTTCAACAACAGTGCTTTAAGTCAACATGAGCGATATGTCCCATCAAGAGTCCGTCAAGCCCGGGGATTCAGCAAGCCAGACTGGCAAGAGCAGCACGAGCAGTACCTCCAGAGCTAGAGTCAAAGCAATGGTGAAGAGAGCGGCCTTGGCAGCCCAGGCAGCAGCTCTCCATCAACAACAAGCTCTTGAACTGGAGGAGTTTAAGCTGAAGCAGAGAAGGAGTAAGCTTGAGCTACAGACAAGACTCAGCATGGCAAAAGCTGAGGAAGAGGTTTTCTCCCAGCATGGAGAGAGCATGACTGCTGCTGCAAATGAAGATGTCTCCCAACAAAGAGGGGCCTTGACGACGGAGCCCAGCATGGCTACAGATTTAGAGAAGGGTGTCTACCAGCTGAGACAGCCCTCAAAGGTGCAACCTAACAGGGTCAGCACTACAGACAAGGACTTCTCCCAGCGTGGAGAGAGCATGACTGCTGCTGCAGGTGAAGATGTCTCTCAACGAAGAGGGGCCTTGACGACGGAGCCCAGCGTGGCTATAGATTTAGAGAAGGGTGTCTACCAGCTGAGACAGCCCTCAGAGTTGCAACCCAACAGGGTCAGTGCTACAGACAAGGACTTCTCCCAGCATGGAGAGCCCTTGAAGTATGATACCACCATTAACCAGAGTGAAACCACAGAACAGAATGGCTCCATACTAACTGGGTCAGAAGCATGTTATGGAATCGCCATAGGGGCCGGTATGCGATGTGTACTTCCCATAGGTCCAGTGCATGTTCAGGCAGCAGATGGAGATAGATGTGTTCGTACCTATGCTCTACTGGACTCAGGTTCGACCACTTCCTTCTGCACAGAGAGCCCTGTAAGGAAAGTGTCGGCACAGGGGGAAGAGCGCATACTTTCCATATCAACTTTGGACGATCCTGATGGAAGGATCCAGATTCAAGATGTGAGTCGTATGGTCGACACAGGTCTCATGACAGAAAGAGTGAAGCTTCAGAAGGTTTCTACCAACAGGAAGACCGACTTACTGAGTGATGACATGGCCAGTATGCGAGACTTAGAAGGATGGCAGCACTTAGAGGGGCTGGATCTACCATTTGCCTGCGGACAAGAAGTGGGACTCCTGATAGGGCAAGATGCGCCATTTGCCCTGATGCCCTTAGAGAATGTACGTACTGTACTTATATGGTCCTTGCATGGCCCTGCTGCTGCTATTCCAGACAAAGGAATGTCGGTGAAGGACAGAAAGGCTCTTGAAATACAGAATGAAGGGAAGTGCACAGAGATGGAACAGTACCAGTTTCACATACCCTTCAAGGAGAAACGACCTACATGTAGCTTGACAGACAAACCATGGGTAGCAGAACAAAGGTTGCGGAGTCTTAGAAGGAAGCTAGGTAGAGATGATGCTCTGCACAACAAGTACACAGAAGGTTATGCCGAGGAGGTGGAAGAGCAAGATTGTCAACCAGGTGACGTAACATGTCGATACCTCCCTCATCCAGGTTTACGATTTGGTACTGTCAGTCGACGAGCACACACCCCGCAATGTTTGGCCTTTGGGAAGAGTCCTTCAGACATGGCGAGACGAGAAAGGCTTCGATCGACAGTGTGAAGTGAAGACCTGAACCAGCGTACTGCGGGAGACCAGTTACTAAGCTCTGTTTAATTTTGGAGGCAGATTCTTAGAAACATTTTTGTGTTTCTAAGATGAGGGGTCAAGCCTAGCGCTGTCCCGTGCCAATTGTAGAGGTATTTGTGTTTTGTGTTCTTAAAACCAGAAAGCGGAACTGACATCGATCTTATCGCGTATTAGAGTAACATTGATCAGTCGAGAAATTGAGGAATTTTTGTGCTTCAGCATCATGGACAGAGTGTCAACATTTGAGCAACTTTCAGAGAATTTTTAGAGACTTTTACAAGAAATTTGAGGAAAGTTCAGCGTTTCAGAAGAAGTTCTAAGCAAGAAAATATGTTGCAAGACAAAGTTGATATTTAGTCATAAGAGGAAATACATATTATTCTGATCCTCTAATAATTCAGAGAATGTCGAAGAACAAGATTTTTGAAGAAAATGGATTATACCATAATGCAAGACTGACATGGTGTAATTTATGTTATTATGATATTGGAAAGTAACGTTTTTGTTTTTCAACCTTCTAAACAAACTCATATTCATTAGAAATGGTAAATGTGCTTTTCCTTTATATTCATATGATGAATGCATTTGTATGTATTCTATATTAGGTTTATTTCCAGAGGAGAAAGCTTAAAGTTGCAGAATGAATACATTCAAATCAGTTATACATGTTGATGATATGTGGTTTATTACTGTTTCCGTGACAACCAAATTACATGGCGTTGGCTATTTGGTAGAATATGTAATACCAGAATCGATAATGTCATATATGCAGATTAAATGGTATATGCAGATGATGTATTTGTCTATGTAGGGATTTGGAAGTTTCGACTAGGAAAATTTATATTTTCTAGCAGATAATGTCTTGTGAAGTTATATTTGGATACAACAACATGACTCTATGTGTACTGGAATTGGTATGTGAATTCAATTCAGTTTTAAACAGTATCTGTGAAATCGTACATAGTGTTGATTATAGAATCAATATTTCCTTTTATTGGGTGACACATAACAAGATTTCTCTTTTAGTTTGTATGGGATTGAAAGAAGTGGTTGTAGTGGTAACAGTTGCCAACAGAGATTTTTTAGAGTGAAATTTTGGTTTTCATATTTTAATGTGAGAATTTATAAAGTTAATTTATTGAAGCATGTTATACATTGATACAGGTAGTATGGCAACCAACTTTGTTGTAAGTTTATTTGAAAAGGAAATTGTAGTCCTTTTTGGTGTTGTAACAAGGAAATCTAGACATGAACAACTTTTTTCTTTTTCATTTGCAAAGAAAGTTGTTTGGTTGCTTAGGTGTTCATGAAAATTAATGTAAATTAGATTATTTGTTAATTGGTGCATGAAGGCATTCAGTATAGATAGCTATGTTTTAAATTTTGGGATTCCTTTGGAATTTTGGATAAAGTATATACCTGTAAGTCCAGGTTGAGAATAAGAAGAGATTAGAGAAGTAAATGTTCAGTAAAATCTTCACATTTAGGGGCCGGAATGTAAGATACTAATCTCTGTTTTGTGAGGACATTTTTTATTTCAGTTGACGATCGGAGTATGACGTCAGAAGCGATGGTTTTTTGGTTGAATTTTAGTCTGCCGAGTGGGGGCGTAGTAAGTTAGCTGCAAATGATTCTCAATTTTGGGAAAAGTCATCCTTCTGATTGCGATCAATATTTAGTATTTCCAGACAAGCCCAATGTTGTGAGTATAATTTGAACATATGATGTTGATAATTGATAACTAGCCGTCAGTTTGAGTTGGGTGTTGGTTTTATACAGTTCATAGTTTTCAGATAATTGATGTATAAAATTTGTTATGAAAGTGATTCGTATGCACAGTAACTTTTATGATGCATTACACGTGCAGTTACATAATACGGTGCATGTGTGAGCGCTATGGGGATAGTCTGTTGTACAGAACGTGTTGTGTTATTTTAATATCATTTATATATAGGCAGTCGTATAAAAGGACAGAATGAAGATAAATTCTGGTTACTGTAGACATGTATGTAAAGAGGAATATAGGGTAATATGTGTAGAGCCAAAAGGGTTATTGTTTTATCATGCACACAAATATTAGTGAACAAAGGAAATAGAAGCAGCCATATTAGGGTATCTTAAAGGTTTTTATTCATCTGCTATAAGGAAATAGAACATAATATTTAGTGGGCATTGATATTTCATTTTGGAACAGTATAATGTGTCATTTCAGTAAACGTGCATTAATCATACAACTCATTTGATGCAAGATTATTGTAAACACAGTTGAAAATCGACATATTATTTATGATTGTTTATAATTCTGATTAAATTTCAGGTTGAATCGCCTTTTGTGAACGGTATCGCATCATGCTTGAAATTGTCGCTATTTATTGAAGTGCAGTCAGTCCGATTGGCAAGTTATACGCTACAAGCGCTTAGAGACATTTGTATTAAGCGCTATATAAGTGGAATATTATTATTATTGCTCATATCATGTCTCTTTGATGTTACAGATTTTGATGAGGACTACATCACGCCTGAGATGGATGCCCAGTCACCAAGCAGACCTCTACCACCGACGCCTGGTACCCCCAAGATGGGTCAGATGATCATGCCGATGGGAAAGAGCCTTCAACAAGAACTGGAGAATAGAAAGAGGAGAGAACCAAGCAAGAGACTGACCAACAGGCAGCCGTCCATCGAAGAGGGATCAGAAGAAGACAAACCAACGTTGAGGTGAGTGATACCTCGTGCAAACCATCAAATTGACCTCAAGCTGATCCCAAATTAACTGTTTCTGCTTGGCCTTTCGGGGAAATTAAAGGAAAAGAAGTCCTCATTCATTTCATATATTCGATAAGATCAAAATCTTGTTTATGGCTTTATTTCTAAATGTAGATTGTCAATTTACAACTACTAACTGATGTGTTTGATGAGTACTTGTCCCCCCCCCCCCCCCCACTCAGTGTTATTTAGGGTACGTGTATGAAGTTCCCTCCTTTTGAAAACACCCCCTTAAGTCCGGTGTGTAAAGTAAATTCGGGCCGATTTTGTGTGTGTTATGAGTCGGACTTTGTTGCGTGAAAAGTACTTCTTTACCGGACATTTTGGGAACATGAATGCGGTCCCTTCCTTCCCGGAGTAGGGGGCCAGGGTACTTGTCTCACAATTAATTTGTAAATATTTTGCAATGCAACGTGTATTTAGTTATATATCTCATTAAGTCCTAGTAGAGTATACCAGAGCAATAATACATATTTGAAGAATTTTTTTTCAGTGCATTTCTTTTTAATAGCATAACTCAAATTTTCCTGAATTTATAACCTTTTTTGTACTACCAAGAAGATGGGCCATCCTAAACCAAAAATCTGTGATTTGTTCAAGTATTTTGGAACAGAAACAAGGAAAAAAATCTACTATTTCTTATCCATCTGCAGGAGAGGACCTGAGGGAAACAGTTTCAGGAAACCTATCACAGAAAGACCTTTTCGTGGTCCTGAGGTAAGATTGGCCATTTTGTAATGACTCCAGGGGGGTGTTTCACAAAGATCCTAAAGCCAACTTAACTCTAAGTTAGACTTAAACATTATGGATAGCCATTTGTAGCATCACGATGAAATATATTAAAAACCGAAAATTAAAGTATTTTATACTTTTTTTTATGAATTCCACATTAAGAACTTGATAATAGAAATATGAATCATTTGAATAATTATTTTATGCCTTTTAAAATAACTTTTACAAAATATTTTCATAGATGCCAATGGCTTTCAATAATTGTGAAGTCCAACTTAGAGATAAGTTCAACTTAGGATCTTTGTGAAACACTCCCCTGCTTTTTTTTTGCTTTTTCTGTCGATCATGAACAAGTCTCTACATTATGAAACCTTCATCTGTGATACCTACTGGTAGCTAATCATCTAATCGTCAAAGAATCTCATTCAAAATATTGTTCATTGTTTATAAATCATTGATTGGTCAAGCTCCTAATTACATCCAAGAATTACTTCAACTCAAAGTCCAGTCACAGTCATAGCCTGCGCAGTTCCACGGATAAATTATTATTTCAGATTCCCCATGGCAAAACAGCTATTGCTGCCCCCAAACTATGGAATAGCTTGCCAATAGAAATACGAAGCACTCCATCTCTCAATGTTTTCAAATCCAATTTAAAAACTTATTTGTTCAACTAAGAGATCTTTTTTTGTAGAATTTAGTAAAAAGGAGCTCTTAACCAGCGCAGCTAAATATATTTTGTATAAAAGCTGCGCTATATAAATTTATTATTATTATTATTAATCATGATCAAGATTTTGCAGATGATGGGAAAGAATACATATTTAGTCTGTGTGAAAATAAGTTTTGTATGGTGTCTATTAAAACAATGGGGGATCCACAAACTACAAGCACTGCTTTTAAGTGGATCCCCCCATTTCCTCAGAAATTAAGAATTTCTTGTAATAATTTTATCACGTGAAAATTGTATTTGTTTAGTTACCAAGAAAAAAATGAATTATGTATGAAAAAAAAATGTAATACCTTTGTTATGCCTCCGCCACCGAAGGTGGTGCCGGAGGCATCATGTTTTCGGGTTGTCCGTCCGTACGTCCGTCCGTCCGTACGTCCGTCCGTCCGTACGTCCGTCCGTCCGTCCGTCCGTCCGTCCGTCCCGTTTGACCGTTATCACAATATCTCAAGAACCATTTAAGATTTAAACTTAAGACTCGGAAATAGTATTTATCACCATAGGAAGACGATCTGATTAGATTTTGGAGTACGTAGGTCAAAGGTCACAGGTCACAGAGGTCAACTTATGAAATTCCTTGTATTGAGTTTGTTAGCGCGATATTTCAAGAACCATTTGAGATTTGAACTTCAAACTTAAGGATAGTATGTATCACCATAGGAAGACGATCTGATTAGATTTTGGAGCACGTATGTCAAAGGTCAAGGGTCACAGAGGTCAACTTATGAAATTCCATACATTGAGATTGTTATCATGATATCTCAAGAACCACTGGAGATTTAAACTTCAAACTTAGTGATAGTGTGTATCACTATAGGAAAACAATCTGATTAGATTTTGGAGCACGTAGGTCAAAGGTCAAGGGTCACAGAGGTCAACTTATGAAATTCCATACATTGAGATTGTTATCATGATATCTCAAGAACCATTTGAGATTTAAACTTCAAACTTAAGGATAGTATGTATCACCATAGGAAGACGATCTGATTAGATTTTGGAGCACGTAGGTCAAAGGTCAAGGGTCACAGAGGTCAACTTATGAAATTCTATACATTGAGATCGTTATTGCGATATCTCAAGAACCACTGGAGAATTTTCACTTCAAACTTAATGATAGTATGTATCACCATATCATAATATCTCAAGAACCACTGGAGATTTAAACTTCAAACTTAATGATAGTGTGTATCACCATAGGAAGACAATCTGATTAGATTTTGGAGCACGTAGGTCAAAGGTCAAGGGTCACAGAGGTCAACTTACGAAATGCCATACATTGAGATTGTTATCATGATATCTCAAGAACCACTGGAGATTTAAACTCCAAACTTGTTTAAATTGCTCTATGGCGGAGGCATCATTTTCGACTGCGCGCAGTCAAAATTCCATCTAGTTTATCTTTCTGTTGGAAATGAAATAAATATGAATCGACTTGAATGCAAACCTCAAATTTAGTGCATACAGGATTAGCTTTTGGATGTAATTATAATATGGGAAAGTTGTAGACAATCATAAGATAAACAAAATTGTGCCGCATGTCTCATTCACAGTCTTTTTGTTTGTTTTTGTTTTGTTTTTTGGTGTTCATTTCTTGGATGATAAAGTACCAATAATATGTTAGAATACAACAGTTGCTATAAAATGTATCTATATGTAGTGTTTGTTTTTGTAATAATGAAAAGCACATGAAATATTAATCATACTGTTTTTTCTTCCTCATTTTGGTTGCAGCCAGTACTGAAACCACTAGTATCAGCCAAGCCCTCAGATGCCATCAAACCAGCTACAAGACCAAAGCCTAAGATTATCACACCAAAACCACCAGTCAAGGTAAGAAGACAAAGACAACTACCCCCGGACAACTATCCTAGGGGCTAGTTGTCCTAGTAGGGGATAGTTGTCTGTGAGGTAGTTGTCCGGGGGGTAGTTGTCTTAGGGGGTACGGTAGTTGTCTGGGGGGTAGTTGTCTGGGGGGTAGTCGTCCTAGAGGGTAGTTGCCCTAGGGGGTAGTTGTCCTGGGGGTGGTTATCCGGGGGTGAATGTCCAGGGGCTAGGTGTCCGGATACGAAGAAGAACCAATGGTAACGTAAGGCCTGTCCTCATCATCTCGAGTTTGCTAAGTTTGTTAAATAACCCGCTATTTTAACTATCCCGATCGCAAATTAACCAGTTAAATTGCGTCTTCATCAGCCCACAGTTGCAATTAGCGGGACATTTGGTCGAGAAAATATCCTGAAAAATCTTGGTCTTGTTTCCATAATATCCCACTATTTGGGAAATAGCGGGCTAATTTGCGCCCGTCTGAGCTAGTTTGGGATGAGCGTATCGGTCTGGTGAAGACGCAATTTCACGCTTCGGGATAATATCCCGAGTCTGAAAATAGTGGGTTATTTGACTTACTCAAGCTGATGAAGACAGGCCTATTATTTCTTTTATAGGCAGGGACTCAAGGGCATTGTCAAACCTGTCTATAAAGGCCACTTGAGGAACACAGTAAAAGTGGCCATTGTAGTCAGGTGGCCTTTCTAGACAGGTTCTACGATAAACATTTTTTGTCTCAAGGGAGACAAAATACTTGGCCACTATAGAGAGGTGGCCTTTATAGAGAAGTGGCCACTAAGACAGGTTGGACTTTACTCATATCAATAGCATTTTATTTTATTTTTAAAGCAATGCGCTATAAAATTCCTTTCTTGGTAGCGCTGAGCAATGGTGATCGATGTGTATTGAAAAATAGGGAAAAATAACAATTGATATTCAAGAATGATTTCTCATACCCTGCTTTAAAAAAAATAAGAAAATTAGTTTCAACAAAATTCCATGAGATAATTCCAACCCATCTAATCCTGCTTCTAACAGGTTGATTTGTCCAAAAATCCCTCTAAATTGTAATTAATACCCCATTTTCAAATAAACTTGATCAGATTTACCAATATCACGATTTTTAGAAAAATATGACAAGTTTCGTTACAAGTTTCGTTTCAAGTTTTCTGTTTCATCTTTTCTTGTTCTGTAGCCCAGGCCATCAGGTGGACCAGCCCCTGCAGTGCTGCTTCCTGAGGCAGCATCTATCCAGTCCTCAGACAAGATCCACACAGAAGGGTAAGACCTATAGCCCTGCTCATAATGTTTCAGTCTCACCTCTGAGTATTAGGCTTGCGTATTCATGGAAAGCAGTTTTAACATTTATTCCTATTTCTTGATATCAAGAAAAGATTTTCTGTTGTGAAACAATGGTAATTCTTGATATCAAGAATTTGATTCCTTGACATCAAACATTCAATGACGTCACTATATGGACCAACACTGCCCAAGCAGATGACATCCCATAGAGAATGAACATAATTGCAAAGCTATTATTTCTCAAATTATAACGAGTTTAGTGTATATAAATGTAATGGCATGTCAAACCATTCAAAAGGGGATATGACCTGATTCTGATAACTAAAATCTTTTGCTTGTAAATGCACAGGATAGGGGTTAATTAACAATCAAAGAAACCAGACTTTCAAATTGAAAAAGCCCCGGAATGATATTAAGGACGACATTTGTTCCCTCTTGAAACACCGAACGTACCCCGGTGTGTGCAGCTGAATATACAATGGTGTCTTATTTTGTTTACAAGCGACAGATTCCTTTATTTTTGTATCGCTGCATTTTTTATCAAAATAAAACCATGTGCGGGGTTTAGAGTGAGGCAATAGATTATACATTTAGCCTGACGGTAGTGAAGTAAGAGAAAGAACTCCAGAGAAGATGAAAACGCAGGCACTGAAAATGTGTGAGATGTCATGGGACATCGTCTGCTTGTGCAAGTCATGTCCATACTGTGATCTCACACATCTCAGCAGCGTTCGGAGAGCTCTTCAGGTGCTATGCTGGGGTTGTATTTAAGCATTTTGTAATGTATAATAATCATTACTTCGAATGTTTCCAGGCATTGAATTTTGATAACCTTGTCGAATCAAAGTTTCAACTTTGCAATAATGAAAATAAAGTTAGTTTTTAAAATCAATGAATATCTACTTTAAAGTGATATTGTGTATTATTAAAACATGAAATCTATTATTGGCAGTACCTTAGGGGTTGCAGATGTGTTTCAATCAATTACATTGTCATTAATAAGGGAGTTGTTGCTAATCATAGATTTTTTGTTGTCTTTTCATTTTTCCAGTCTTTTACGGAAGTATCGCTGTGATGGGATGTACCTAGTAAGACTAGGATCAGAACATGGCCAGGTATGTTCTAGATTTTAGTTCTTTCAATCTGCTTTAATTAATTTGATGTATTTCATTTATTCATTCTGCTATAGCTGGGTTGACTTATTTCAAAGTGCAATTTTGAACAATTTGTTTAACCTAACTTTGCAAATAAACCTACCAAATTAACCAAAACTTGATATAGATGAAATATTTCCAATAAAGATGTGTAGCATTTAGAGCAATTTAAAAACTAGGGAATATATTCATTGATTGATTGTTATAGCTGAGAAAACAAGAAGTTTTTGATACTTTTAGGTAAAGATTTAGGGGGCTATAGAGATATAGATAATGTCACATCCAAGGCACAAACTCACAGGCTAGGATATTGAACCCAGAAAGTGTATCAGACCAGGGGGGTGTTTCACAAAGAGTGAGATCAACATTAGTTGAACTTTAACTATGGCAGGCCATTCATGTCACTGGTTGCTCTCACCATTGGTCTCTCAATGGATGTCATAAATCTACAGAATCTACCTCTTTTTGTTATACCGGTAGTTCATTGTGGAAAAAAAAAGTTCATTACATTGTAAACTTAAGCTATATTCAAGACTTGGACTTATACTACGGTAGGCAATTTATGCCCTTTAAAAGTCTTAAACCAGCTGTAAAATTAGAGGGAAAAAACCTTAGAATTTTTTTTTTTTTTCCTTTAATAATAAACTATCAAAAAATGTGAATTCTGTGGATTTGTGACCGCGATTCGTACATCCATTGAGATACCAATGTCAGGAATGGTTAAAGGAACTAGTGGCATGAAAGGCCTGCCATAGTTCAAGTTCAACTTAAGTCGATCTTAGCCTTTGTGAAACACTTCTCAGTTCTAAAACCACTGAGCCATTGTACTGAGTCATTGCAGCATGATTTTATCGATTTCATTACCTTGATTTTGCTGGTTGTTTGGGGTTAAGGTCGTGAAGGCTCATTTGATGTGGCACACTACCGTGGTGATTTCTTCACAGCTCATTTAACAAACAAATATAAGCTTCTATGGAACAAAATAGGCAATAACACTACAGTGATAAACAGATTTGATTAATGTGAGAGAGAGAAGTAAAGGAGAGAGACAGACGGTCAAAGACACAAAAGAGAGAGAAAATGCAGAGAGATTCATGCACACATACATGTTCAATATATAAAGAGAGGAAGTAAGGGAGAGATAATAAGAATGTAAATGGGTGTCGATTGGGAGCACTAAGAATTGGAAAGAGACAGAGAGAGCGAGAGAGAGAGAGAGACAGACAGACATAGACAGAGACAGACAGAGACAGATAGAGACAGGAGAGAGAGACACAGAGACATATGGGAGCAAGCATTGGAAAGAGACAGAGAGAGACAGACAGACAGACGGACAGAGAGAGAGACAGAACAGAGAGAAAAAAGACGTAGATACATGAGACAACAAACAAGCTCCTATGGAACCAATGATACTACAGTGATAAACAGATTTGATTAATGTGAGAGAGAGAGAGAGACAGACAGGCAAAGACACACAAGAGCGAGAAAATGCAGAGAGATTTATGCAGACATACATGTTTGATAAGATTTCATTTCATTTCATTTCATTTATTTATTTAAACACGGTGACTCTCCCAGCCTAAGCAGCTGTTTTTAAGATAGAAACTGGGTGTCAATTGGGAGCAAGATTTGGAAAGAGAGAGAGAGAGACAGACAGACAGGCAGAGACAGAGAGATAGAGAGAGAGAGAGAGAGAGATAGACAGTCAGACAGACAGACAGACAGAGAAAGAGAGAGATAAGGAAAGAAAAAAGGCATAGATATATGAGACAATAAAGAGTTTCTTGTAGCAAAGGAGGGGAAGAGAAAAATACAGAAAGTTAGACCTGAAATGAAAGAATGTCATATAAAAAAAACTCCCTTTTATTTCAGAAGTCAATCATGGTAGGTACATGAATATGAGCACATTTTCTTTGTGAGATTTGTGAATTTTCTTCATTTTTCTAAAGTTTAACAAATAGATCAACTCAATTTTTTCTCTCATGCAGGTTCTTATGGTATGGGACAGTCAGAACTGCAGATGTAAACACTATAAAATATTTCAAGATCAGGTAAATATTGGTATTAACATCATTACTGTTATCGATATCCTAAGATTTATCATCATCATCATCGTAATCATTATCATCATCATCATCATCATCATCATCATCATCATTGTCATCATCATCATCATCATCATCATCATCATCATCATCATCATCATCATCATTTATCATCATTATCTATCATTGTCGTTATCAGCATTATCATCAACGTAACCATTGACTGTTGTCATATTCATAACCATCATCATCATCATCACTACCATAATTTTGTTATCATTATAAACATGTGTGATTGTTATAACCATCCTTGATATTCTTGTCATTATTGACACCTTAATATTATGTAGAACCTTTTCAATCCTATCTCAGTAACCCATGCTTAATCTCTGTCTAGTAAGAATTTAGAAACTGCACACACATTGTCACATTCTGAGTTATCTCTTAGTAAATGTACTGATATATATAATAATATTGGATATTTATATAGTGCACATATCCACCCTGCAAGGTGCTCAAAGCACTCGAATATTACCCTCTGCTGGTTACCGATTTCGGTGCTCACAGCATTCAAGAAAAAATTTAATGTGTTCACTGTTAGTGTTGTTCAACACTGTAGTCGTAGCTTCATCAACTCATGATTGTCTCCATGTTTTCCCCTCAGGATTCCAATCTTCACTTGGACCATGTCCCTAAGTTTGACAACATACTCAAGTTACTAGAACATTACAAGACCAACGCATTACCGAACAGCAAGCTCTATCTCCAGAAAGCTTTCGCTGGTTGAGAGCAGGAAAACAAACAATCAAACCACTCTGAAGCTGGGATTCTCTGCTGGTGCGCTCACCATCGTGTCATTTAAATATATTACCATGGCAACAGATGCTTGCGTCTAGCCTCGATGACATAGCTCATGGAATGTGAGAGTTGATGGTGAAAGACTCTGGAGCCCCATGGAGATGCCTGTTTACAGAGCCAAATACCGATGTTGGATCTACGTAAAGGCATCTTAAATTTGAACTGTTTGAAGCAGTATAGTTCTAAACCAAATTACAAATATCCCAAGCCCAGTTGGCCAAATTTGTGATGATACTTTGAATAGTGAGGCTCTTATACAAGACCATGTGAAGCGTTTCATTTCTATAATGTTCAGATGAATGAATGGCATAGTGGGATTTTGCTGATTTGTCAAGATGCTGCAGTTGAGAGAGACAAGTTTATCATCATCTCAGGCAGGCAGAAAGATCATGCCTAGAGTCATTGACTTGTGGTGTTAAAAGGTCGTACAAAATTACCTCGCTTACCGTATATAACGGTGTATAAACCGCACTTTTTTGCCGCCGAAAAAATTTCAAAGTCGGGGGTGCGGTTTATACACGGTACACCAAAAACAAAAACAAATAAAGTTTCAATTTATGCCCCTCCACCACTCGGAAACTAGAACAACACTCAAATTTGTCTGTCATCTTGGTTTGAAAGTAATCTTTCTGATAGATCTCAATATGTAGTTTATAATAATAATTCCTCCAATTTTTCTTCTATTACATGGTGTACCACAAGGTTCTATCCTAGGTCCCTACTGTTTTTTAATTTACACTACCGTAATGATCTTACACACACAAAAAAAAAAAAATCTCAGCAAATTTTTTTTTTTTTTTTTATTTTTTTAAATTTTTTTAAATTTTTTTTAAAGGGCGAAAAAGAGGGGTGCGGTTAATACACGAGGGCGGTTTATACAACGTTATTTACGGTAAATGGAGGATGCACCAAGAATGACTGAGATCAGACCCAGATGCATTTTTAGAAATTGCTGGAGAGCAAAGCAAATGTGTCATCTTGGATATGAATTGGAGACCCTTGAGGTTCATCATCATCATCAGGGTACAGGATTAAGATGCAGATTCTGTGATGGACACGTTCTTCTCCTTCCATTTAAGTACTTCCTAACAGTTCATCTGCTTTAGTTTAGGATGGTGTCTGTCTTCATGGAGCGTCCTGTAAGAGAAGCCCCTACCAGTCCAGCTCGAGTGTACAAACTAGCTGGACACACATTTGTTCTACTTCTTCAGTTCCAGAGCCATGCTTGTTCTCAGGAAAGAATTACACAACATATATCTGTTCCAGTTGTGTTTTCCAACGGTTTTAATTCAATCGTGTGAACTTTGAATTGAATTGAATTGAATGCTTTATTGAGAATACTGAACACTGCAGCTTGGGGACTGAATTACATTCAGTTTACAATAAAAGCACATGAAATGCGTAGTAATCTTAAATCAATTATTCCGAGAATACATTCAAAGATAGAATTAATAGGATATAACATTGTGACATAAATTATATATGACCCACACTCTTCTGAAAGGAACTTGCCAAAATTAGATGCCAAACAGAGACTTATTACGAGTGGAGACTTTTCTCCTGCAGCTCTTAGTTAGGTTTCTTAGTTGCGACACACGTGTAACACACATTTGCTCTGAAATTGACAGGTTTGTCTTATTGGTGCTGTTGGGATAAAGGGTATATAATCTGTTTGCAGTTGATGTATTTGATTTGAGATGTGAAAGTTGCGTGCAGAAGATGGCAGACAGTCCTTTAAAGCCCCACTGCACTACTTATAGCTACTTGCGCCCTCTATTTAGCAAACAATGCCTAAGCGGTGGCTGTTGTTCCCCCATGGTCCCCTTTTTCTTATGTTAATTGAGAGCTGATTTGATGAGTTAACCACCTGTCAGTGACCATGCAGGGAGGTCTAATCCCTCCTGGCCAAATTAGTGCAGACAGGCTTTAAACAGTGTGCCATCAACCAGTCCAGGGACCTGTCTTACAAAGAATTGCGATTGATCCAGATTGATCCAGATTAATCGTAAGTCCTCCAATCGGGCACAAAATTAACAACTCTTATCTCTTTTAGTACAGATTTGCGATCGATCGAAACTTTATCATAAGCTTATAAAGTTGATTATCCAAAAGCTGCAAAATATGAAATTGTGTTATTAATGGGTTGAAGCTAAAGCAATCTTGACTCTTCATAAGTGATGGCAGACTAAACGAATATGTGATTTTAAATCTGAATGATATTTAAAGGCTGAATTAACGTAATAAAATAAATAAATTCATTACTTGATTGTGATATATAGCAATATGAATCTGGTGTATGAACTGCCAATTGTTTCTACTATTTTAACGTCTTCCTTTATGAAAATGAATTTGATGAAGGCATTGTGTGTATCAATATGTGTATATTTTGTAATGTAATCCATCTTTATGAGAAATGTATATATTACTGTAGCAATGATTTAGAAATATGTAAGCTATGTTTTTATGGCAAATTATAGATATGTATACAGTGGAAAAGGAGTAAATAGTTGTGCATATTGAGTCATATCATTCCAAATTATAAATATATAAATATATACATAGAAAAGGAATACTATATACACAGAAAGTGAACTATTTTTGTACAAATATTATTGATATGTGACTATCGTAAATATTCAGTATGTGGTATACAGAGAGTTTAGAGCGTGTTTTATAAACGCAACTGAAAGGAACTTATTCAAACAAAGAAAAGTTTTGAGTTGTAGGTAATCATGTTTTCTCCGCTCGAAATATCTAAGTCTGTATGCCTTGTGTGAAGGAGTATACATGCAATTCTAACTAGGAACTATGCGTCTTTTACAAAAATAAAGAGAGAGAGAGAGTGAGAGAAGTAGAACTCCGTCATAACATACTATTGCTATTTGCAGTAAAATTTCATCCAAGTTAAATCATATATTGTGCAGTAGCCTTAAATTGTGTAACTCGTCAGGTTACAGTAAGACTATGGTAGCATAAAATTGAGTTATATATTACATGTCTTAAAACGGAAATAGTATGTGTTAGGAATGGACAAATTTATTTCTATTTAGTTAAAAAAGAAGTCCACCCTGAAGTTGGTTTTAATAAAAGCTGAAAGTTTCAGCAATATCCGATTAAAACTAGGAAAGTAATGAATTTTTCATCAGTAAAACATAAATTGGAAACACTGTGACCTATCTTGCAAGCTCTTCTCAAAATTGCTCTTTTCCGAAAATTCCATAAACTTTCATTTTCTTAGTTATTAAAGACGGAACAGATTTGTTTCATACAGGGACATATTTGCAAAAATGTTGAATGTATGATTGAAAATTTCTTTAGGGAAACTGTAAGTATTTTAGTACAGGGGAAATGGGAGGGGAGCTTGCGAGATACATAACAGAGTTGCCAATTTGTGTTTGATTGATTGCGCCTTCAATATTCATAACATTCTTTACTTTTTGTATTTATATTTTTATCAAACTTTCACGTATCTGTTACTCTCACGTTTCTACTTCTATTAGATCCAACTTTAATGTCAGGTGGACTTCCCCTTTAAGAACATAGACACCAATCAGCGTAATATGCAATCCAGTGATGTGTGCCAAATGGAGGTGTTTAATTGAAAAGTAATATGTTAGGCAAGGAATTTATGATAGTGTAATTCAAATTTATTATATTTAAAAGAGGGCCAAATTAGATTCAGTGTTTCATTTTATGCAAAATTAGTGAAGATGAAAGTATTTTTGAATGATATGCAACTTAATGCAACAGTCATAAACTGTTATTGAATTAAAATTAAAATATGTTTTTTAATTGTACATGAAGCTTGTTTTTCTTCAAATAGTGAGTTACTTTTTAAATAGACTAGAATAGATTATGACAAAATAAATCATATTTTAAAAACTGTATATTTTCTTGTTGTTAAATCTGACATTTAAAAGGCTGCGGACAATTATTTAAAGTGACAGCTTCTAATGGACATCAGTATTGATAGTATCGAAACATGAATTGATTGGTAGAAATGCAGACTTTGATACAACTACTAATCTTTGATCAAAGGTTGTAAACAAAACAAAGCATGTGTTTGGAACCAGTAGGGCATTGAACCATGTACCTTTTAGTACAAAGAGTTATTACGTCCTTCTGGCTAATTGACAAAAGTGGAGAAGGTGGCGATGTGTTAATGTGAGATTATGAAGATACAGAAGAAAGAAAAAAGTGTATTTGATCGTTTTACTTAGCACAGTTGATTTGCTTAGTTGATAGCTACTGATATAATTCATGCTTCTTCATATTATTTTGAGATACAATGAATATTTTCATTATTTAATGGGATGTATTACTGTAAACGTTCAAAAGCAAGAATCCGTACAATTTCTGGATAAAGTGCCTTATTTTGTTCGTTAGGATTTATAGGCCCTTTCCAATTTTTGTATGTTAAAACTTTAAATATTTGTTCAGTACAAGTCATGTTAATGAACTGTGCCACTTTTAAAAATTGCCCCCATATTGCTCATGCTTTATCTCTTGTTTTTTTAATTTTTAAGTCTCTTTCAAGAATGTTTGTTCATCTTGATTATCATGAGGTCTTTGAAAAGCATGGATTCGTGCTGAAATGATGTATGTTACACAGAAAGAGTTGTTATACTCCGTGTTATTAAATATATAATGCGAAACGAATGGTCTCGTGAACATTGTATTCTTTTTAAAGAGATAATATCGATGAAGGAAGAGAGAAAGAGAGAGAGAGAGAGAGAGAGAGAGAGAGAGAGCAGGAGGAAGAGAGAAACAGTGGGGCAAAGGCGTTTTGTGTATTTCATCATTTAGTAACTCTGAAGGGACGACGGTGGTTCATAGATTCATTTTTTCAATTATGATTTCCTACTCAACATTAACATAAAGTTGTAGACTTTTTAATAATTTCAAAAGTATCTTTACTATGACTTTCCTTTGTTAATTATAAGACTTTCACAAATTTAGAGTGTAATATCTAAGACAAAAAAAAGAAATCTTCTTAATTCAGTTTCCAAATAGTAACGTGAGTATTATCGTCGAAATATTATTATTGAGAATGATTTTGTGAGCATTCCTTTTATAGGGAAAGACAAGTTCAGTTATAAACATCCCCGTAAACATCGAAGACAGTCGCGCGCAAATTTTTCTCGATTCATTTCCGATCAAATGCTGCTTATATTATATCATGAGCAGGTGGGGAAAGGGAAGGGGGCAACACCCGATGAATCTTAGTAACCGAACGGGGAAGGGTCTACGAGGGGATCCCCTCACCACACCAACCCCCCCAAAAAAGACACACATTTTTTTCATTAATACAAATGCATTTTAGCGACGCATTTA